TGTTGTCGTTGATGCCATTGTTGTCGTCGTCGTTGTCTTCGAGGGCCAATGCAGGGTCGAGGTTCGAGATTCCACAGTTATTATGGTTTGTGGGGAATGGTTCTATGCATCGGGGGCCCAGGGGCTTCTCGGGACCTCTGCAGGCCTTTCGGAACATCCATGGACTTCTGGCTCCTTGCCGCGCTAGTAGTATATTCCTCTTCGTCCGTGGCCGTTTCATCATGAGCTACATGTTCGAACCTTTAGCAACCTACTCTACTTCAGCGATGCAGGAGTGTCCAGCGAACGGGGTAAACGGCTCTTCCTTGTCTCCTCTTCCTCCTCCTCCTCATCCTCCTCTTCCTCCTCCTCCTCTTCATTCCAACCTTCCTCGTCCCCTCATCCCCTCCATTCACCCCGCTTGCTGGAGCCCCTGGCACAGCATACTCTCGACCTGCATGCGCGCGGGCACTCCTTCGACCTGGCGCCGTGAGATGGCGACCAAGACGGCCGTTCGCGCAGCGGTCACCGTCTCCGTTGCCAGCGCCCTGTCGGTGACTGGAAGGGCGGACGTTCAGCACATGCAGCAGACGGAGACGAAGTGGGCGGTGCTCACCACCGACCTGCCGCGTGTGGAGCTGCAGTCCAAGGACCCGGCGGCCTCTGGCTGTGGCAGGGAACTCCCCGGCTACTTCGCCATCGAGGGCCTGGCGTGGGCGGCTTCTTGGCAGAACAGCAAGGTCTGGAACACAACTGAGTGCGCGCAGACGTGCGACGCGAACACGCACTGCGTCGGCTTCACTACTCGCAGGGGGCATGGCAAGCTACAGTGCTCGCTCTACAAGGGCCTCCAGAAGAAGCCGGACCACTTTGGCATGTCCTACATGAAGTGCGTGAAGGGTTTCGACGGATGCCAGGACGGGTTCCAGTTCTCCCACGCGGGGACCTGGAAATCCGGCAGGAAGATCGACAAGCTGGACGACGAGGACCTGAAGTGGTGCCAGAGGGAGTGCCAGAAGAGCAGGGCCTGCGTCGGCTTCACGCACCGCGTGAATAAGGAGGAGGACCAGTTCTGCGTCCACTTCGAGGATCAGCATCGTCTAACCGATCCCCCACGGGCATGCATGGTACATAAGCCCCACCAGGTCACACGCCTAGATGGGGATAGATCCAGCGAGCTCCGACGGGATCAGCATATATCCCCGTGGGGGTAAATCGACAATTGGGGCCAACGCCATGCCAGTGAGGATGGGGATCCGTTGAAACGATGCTCCGAGGACGCCGGCAACGCCCGCGGGGCCAGGCGGGATTCTCGCGCCTCAACGTTCTCCAAGTGCGTCCTCGAGGGCAGCCTCGCCACCGTCACCGACGACAACGCCACCGCGGAGGACAACGCCACCGCGGAGGACAACGCCACCGCGGAGGACGACGGCGGCGCCGCCCTGGACCTGGCCTTGCCAGACGAGCAGAGCGAGGCCTCGGACAGGGGGGTCGCCCGCCTGTGCTCTCCGTGCGCCAGCACCAACCGCGGCAAGGCCAATCCTGGGCCGCCGGGCGCCGCTGCACGTGCCCTCTCCGGCCCCCGCCCCGGAGGGCACGTCCCCCGCGGCCCAGGACGGGCCCGGCCGGTGGCCGGCGTGGGGGAGTGTAGACGGCTGGCGCGCTCTCGTCGGCTGCGGGAAGTGGTGGCCCTCCGCAGGGGTGGCCCCTGGTGCGGGCCCACGGCTCGCGCGCCTCCGCGGGCCCCTCTTGCCCAGGGTCACGCTTGCGTCCTAGACGTCCAGCGCTTCGAACGAAATCGGGGCGGCCAGTTCGGCCCTTGCCTGGGCCTCCGGAAGCCAGTGTCGGACCTCGGGGCCGTGTGGAAAGCGACTCGGGATGCAAAGCCGGCCCCGGGGAAGGTTGTCAAAGGCATCGAAGCGGCGGATGTCAGGGGTGTGCAGCAGGCTCGTGTCGTGTCGACGTGGCGGCGGTCTCAGCGCGGGCGTTCAAGGTTGAACGCCGCCGGTGGCCCGGAGCCGGCCGCCGGAACCCGGGTTTGCCAATGTTTTTGGACGGGACCGTCTTGATTGTTGAGGGTTCAGGTCCAGTTCCCGTGGTCTCCTCATTTTCCTGCCGGCCCCGTCAGGCCAGCTTGAGTCCCCCGATCCCGAGCCTTCTTCAGGAGAGGTAAACAGACACAGACACAAACAATCGTCGACGTCCAGGAGCATCAGCGAGAACATGGGAGGTGGAGGGGGAGACTGAAATCCCGGAAGTCTGGGTCCTATATCGGGGAATCTTGGCATTTGTGGCAGTTGATTTGTATCTTCCTGGGCGCCTTCCCTCGCGTCTCCCCGAATCGAACGACCCGCGTAGGCGGGAAGCCTCGCTCGCTCGTGGCCGAGGCGGCCCGCGCGGTGTTCGGAGGCCACTGCGCAGGCCGCCGCGGCGAGAGCCTCCCGAGGCCACCGACGACGGCGGCTCCGCCGGGGGCCCCGCTGCGGAGGCCGAGGCCCCCGAGGGCGAGGAGGCGATGTGAGCTCGGGGGGCGATGCGCGCCCTCCTCCCCTCTCCTCGTCTTGCCGGTGCTGCTATATAGGTAGCTTTTGTGTGCTGCAGGACTGCTGCTGCAGATAAAAAGGCACTGGCCAGGTCTGCCGGCCGCGCATCGCCATGGAGCGCAGGGGTTACTCGAGAGACGTTGCGGTCGCCCCCATTCCTCCACCTCCTTCTTCTTCTTCTTCTTCCATTCGCCCCTCCTTCTTCTTCTTCTTCTTCTTCTTCTTCTTCTTCTTCCGCAGCGCTCCACAGCAAAAACTGCACAAGCACACAGACTTTGTCCTCGCCGAACTCTCGGATCGGCGCCAGGGGCGCCGCCAGGGAGCTCCAGCGCCGATCCGAGGGAGCCGCGCGGACCTCCAGAAGGCCCTGCTTCCTGCCGATTTCTGTGCCTCGGTCAGCGGCCTCGACGCCGTGGGGGGGGGGTGGGGGCTTCGCCGACCGCGCCCTCGCCCCGACGGGCGGCCTGGCCGGAGGGGGAGCCGCTCCAGGCCTCCCCGATGGGGGGTGCGAGGCCGCGGTCGGGCACTTTGGCCTCGCGTGTCGCTCCGCTGTGGCTCCGGCCCGCCACGCTGTGGAGCGGCCTCCTCCTCCTCCTCCTCCTCCTCCTCCTCCTCCTCCTCCTCCTCCTCCTCCCGCCCGAGCCCGAGCGTTTCCCGGCCGCGCGCCCCGCGCAGCGGAGCGGCACGCCATCCGCGCGCGGGGCACGGCGTGTGTCGCCGGGGGCCGCCGCAGCAGCGCGCCAGGCAGCAGGCCCCGACTCTATAGGCGGGGTCGGAGGGCCGGGCCGCGTCGCCGAGGCATCGCAGGTGCTGCTCGACGCGGGGCCGACGGCGCCGACGCATCGCCGAAGTCGCCGATGCATCACCGATGCATCGCCGATGCACTGGCGAGCGCGTTCCTCCGAACCCCCCTGCTCGGACCCCAGTCGGGAGGCCTCTAGCCTCAGGACGCCCGGAACGAGGGCGTTGCACTGCAGGCCATGACTTTGAACATTCCTGCTGGAGGAAACGAGTCACGGAGGATATTTCGCCCAACGTCTGCAGTTTTCTCAGGCGCGCCATCGCCCTGGTTTAGCACACTCCCTGTTTACGAGATCCTTTAGTTAGCTCTTCCGCCAGCGCAGTTACTCTGCCTAGCCGCCGACGCAAGAAAGTTTACGAGGTCCCGAGGGCCTTTGCCCGAGGTGCCCTCAGCTTTCCACGCCATCTTGGAGCCTCCCGCAGAGTTGAATTCCGATCCGATCGGCCCGACTCGATATCGGCTCTGGCCAGCCTGATCCGATCCGGTTCAGATGTTCTGGCGATTCGACGCGGCCAAGTTCGATGCGACCCACCGCAGCCCGAAGCGGTCTGATCTCGACTCCGTGCCGATGCAGCCCGATCCGACACGCTCCGATGCGACCCGATCTCCCGATTCGAGTTACGGTCCGACCTTGCCTGGGGCCCGCTGCCGGCGGCGAGCCCAGGAGGGAAGCGAGAGCTGGCGGGCCTTCTCGGCAGGCGGCGGTGCCTCTCGGGAGCCTCTCTGCGTCTTCTTCGGGGCAGGCCTTGGAAGACTTCTCGGAAGGCCCGAGGCCTTCCGAGCCGTGGGAGAGAAGGCCTGGCCCCTCGGCAGCCCCCCCGGGCTCGCCGCCGACTCTGGAGGAGGAGGAGGAGGAGGAGGAGGAGGAGGAGGAGGAGGAGGAGGAGGAGGAGCATGAGCAGGAGGAGGAGGAGCATGAGCAGGAGGAGGAGGAGGAGGAGGAGGAGGAGGAGGAGGGGAGGAGGAGGGCCTCCTGAGGGGTGCCCTGGAGGCCACTCGGGCCCAGCCTGGAAGGAAGAGCCTGGGGTCGTCCTGCACCCCCCCGGGAGCGAAAGTCTCCAACGCCCAGCGTGTCGCCCGGCACTGCAGCCTTCCTTGCTTGGTCCTCCTCCTCCTCCTCCTCCTCCTCCTCGTCCAGTCCTTGTCGGCTGCACGTAACGAGTGACCCTTTCCCAGAGTGGCCTCTGTCGGCGGCGAGCCCAGGTGAGAGGGGGCGGCGCCTTCCCAGAAGGTCCCCACGCCTCCGGAGAAGGTGTCGGTGCCTTCGGGGAAGGCTTTGTGAGCACTGCTCAGAAGGTCCGAGGCCTTCCGAGCCTTCCGAGAGGGCCCGCCCCCTCTCACCTGCCCCCTGGGCTCGCCGCCGACTTTGGTCAGCGGATTTCGGGGGGCGCGGGGGGTCCAGACCCAACGCAGGCCATCTCTGTCGCATGGCATGCAGCGATCGGCAGGCCGCGCACCGAAGGCCGCTCCTGCCCAGGGCCACTCGTGCGCGTAGCCGATCTTCTCTGGGGGCTTCTGCTGCATTCCCCCCTGGCATGCTGGTGCCGCGCGGGTACGAGCACGGTGGAGACCCCTCCCCACCCGCTGGGAAGGCGGCAGCTTTCGTCATCGCGGGTCTCCTCCGAGGGAATAAACGTTCCCGCCAGCCAGGCCCCCAGGGCCCCCACGGCCTCGCGCCGAGCCCCTCTGCCTGCACATCGCGAGAGCGCCTCGCCGTTCTTTTCTGGCCGCGCGCACGCAGGGGGTGGCGCGGTGGTGGGGGCGGCCATCCGCGAAGGCGGGGAGGGGCTTCCACGTCAAGGGAGGAAAAACCACCCCGACCACGATAACTGGCGTTTACCGAACCGGCCCATCGGCGTTTACCGAACAGCACTGCCCTGCTCGATTCCTTCTTTCTATTGGTGCGCTTACTGCATGGATTCGCTTGCCGGGATGCTTATGATGAGGGTCGGTTTTCTGCTCTCTCCTATGAGAGGGCGGGGGGGGGCTTCTCCGGAGCCATCCCAGCCGGCAAGAGGCCCTCTTAGAAGGGTCTGGGCTCTTCGGACGAGGCCTCTGCCTTCCATCGAGGAGCCCCCAAAAAGGCACGAAAATGAACTTTCGCGGGGGTCCGCACGGATTTCTCGGATCGGCGCTGGACCCCCCTTTTCCTGGCGCACGGAGCGCGCCAGGGGCGGCGCCGGAGGCGCCAGCAGGGGGCCCCGGCGCGGATCCGAGAAAGCAGCGCGGACCTCCGAAAGTGTACGTCGACACGTCCTCGTGCGTTCCCCGGTCCCCGGGGGAGCCCCCCCCCCGCCCGCCCTCTCGGGAGGCCCCGCCCCCTCCTGCCCTCGCGCCGCCCCTTTCGTGCGCGCCGTCGGGTTCTTTCCTCGGTCGCTGGGCCTGCCGTTCAGGCGGAGCCGTTGCGCGTGTCGGGCCCGAGGCCTGATCCCGAAGAGGCAGGCGGAGGCTTCGCGTGGGGGCCGTGTGTGAATCTTGGGGTCGGCTGCGGGCCTGGTGTGGCCCAGCACTGGTTCCAGCCAGCAGGAATGGGGGGGAAGAGGTTCGAGGTGCTGGGTCCGAGAAGTCGTTGGTGCCTTTCCCTGTCTCTGGGGGCCGTTTTCGGACCACGGGACCGGCAAAAAAGGATGCAGGAAGGAGACGTAACTGCACCAGATTGACCCAGGAGGGGTCTGGAGATCGATTTTGAGTGGATTTCCCATCATGCCCATTCTAGACCGATTATCTCATGGCCCATGCAGTTGAGACCCCCAGGCCGCCCCCAAGTTGGATTGCTATCCTCGTGTGCTGCATATCTCTAGGCGTTCCAGGTGGGGGTCCGAGTAGATGGGGTCGGTGGATCGCGCCGCATGGCCGATGCAGTTCGATGTGGAGCCCGATTTTCTCCACGCCGACGGCGCTGATAAATCGCCGACGTCGACGATGAATCGCCGATGCATCGCCGATGCATCGGCGATGCGGCGCGATCGTCCGACCCCATCTACTCGGGCCAATGTAGGATGTCTCTGTTATCATGTGTGTGATTGTCGTTATGTTGAGTAGCAATGGTATTATTGTTTATATTGCTACTGTACCGCTATTGTTGTTAGCATTGTGTTTCTCACGAGTGATACTATTCATGTTGCTGTCTTTCCTGTTATCATTATTGGTATAACTAGCTCTTTGGACCTCTGGGGTCCCGCGGAGGCCTCAGGGGGTCGGTCTCCAGGGACTCTTCTGAGATCCGCGGGGACTTCCGATCAGCCGAAGGGACGATGCCTCTGGCCTGATGATGAGCAGCCGATCCGGGGTCGGGCCGGGCCCCCTTCTTGCTGAGGGTCCATTCCGATCCGACCGATCTGATGCGATATTGACTTCGGCGGGCCCGCTCCGATTCGATCCGGATATTCCAACGATCTGATCCCGATGCTCGCATGGTGCTGTTGTGCATACTGGCGTGGCCGATCCGATTCGACTACGACTCCGTGCTATGCAGACCGATCGGACGCACATTCCGAATTGATCCGATTTCCCGACTCGATGCTGCCCGATCCTGCCCTGTTTGCACTGCTCACCCCCAGACTCCAGACCAGGGTCAGATCGACGTCCACTTTCCGCCAAACAGGGGACGCGTGCGGGGAGAGATGGTGCCATTAGGATATCCAGGAGCCCGCGGCAAATCAGCCACAGTGCCACCGAAGCACTCTGAGAGTCTGTGCGGCGACCCTTTGCACTGCCCAGAAGGCCATCATACTGTCTTCACTTCTCGAGAAGCTCTCTTGGGGTTTACTTTGGCTATTTTGGGCGCCCGTTGGGCAGTCTTGGGGGTCCTGTGGGGCTTTCTTCTGCTTTCTTGGGGCCATCTTGGGCCGTGCCGGGGCCTTCTTGGGCCATCTGGGAGCCAGCTTGGCCGTCTGGGGGGCCTATTCGGGCCGTCGTGGGGCCGCCTTGGGGCCCTCTTGAGCAGTCATGGGGCCTTCTTGGGCCATCTTGGGTCCCTCCAGAGGGGAGGCCTTTTGCGACAGCTTGGGCTCTTTTGGGGCTATCTTCGAAGCCTCTAGGGCCCTGTTTAGCGCCTTCTGAGGTCTTCTTGAGGGCTATAGGGTGCGGGTTGACTCAATGTTGGGCCATCTTAGCGGCCTTGTTGGTGGCCTGTGCTGGAAGTCTTCGAGAGCGTTGGAGAGCCTCAGGGAAACG